GATGAGAAGGAGAAGGAGAAGGATGAGAAGGAGAAGGATGAGAAGAAGGAGAAGGATGAGAAGAAGAGAAGGAATGATGAGAAAAGGAGAGAAGAAGGATGAGAAGAAGGAGAAGGAGTAAGGATGAGAAGAAGGAGAAGGATGAGAAAGAAGAAGATGATGATAAGAAGGAGAAGGAGGAGAAGATGGTTGACTTGTTTAGGGTGTTAAAAGGAGATTTGGGAGGAAGGGGGAAGGAGAAGGATTGAAGAAGGGATTTTTTCTGAAGAAGGAGAAGGATGAGAAGAAGGTAGAAGGATGAAGAAAGGAAGAAGAGAATTGTGGAAGAAGGAGGGAGGAGGATGAGAAGGAGAAGGAGAAGGATGAGAAGAAGGAGAAATGGAGAAGTAGGATGAGAAGATGGAGAAGGAGAAGGATGAGAAGAAGGAGAAGGAGAAGGATGAGAAGAAGGAGAAGGAGAAGGAAGGAGAAGGATGAAGAGGAAGAAGGAGAGGATAAGGATGAGAAGAAGGAGAAGGATGAGAAGAAGAGAAGGAGAAGGATTGAAGAATTCAGAAGAAGGATGAGAAGAAGGAGAAGGAGAAGGATGAGAAGAAGGAGAAGGAGAAGGATGAGGAGAAGGAGAAGGATGAGAAGAAGGAGAAGGAGAAGAAGAAGGTTTAGAAGGAGAAGGATGAGAAGAAGGAAGGATGAGAAGGGGAGAGGATGAGAAGAAGGAGAAGGAGAAGGAGAAGAGAAGGGAAAGAAGGAGATGAGAGGGGATGAGAAGAAGGAGAAGGATGAGGAGAAGGATGGAAGAAGGAGAAGGATGAAGAAGGTTTTGTGGGGGGTTGGGTTTAGTGTGTTTTGAGTGGAGATTTTGGGATGGGTGGGGGTTTGTTTGAGGGGGGGAAGAAGGAGGGATGGTTGGGGGAATGGAGAAGGATGGGGGAAGGGGAGGTGAGGGGAAGGATTGGATGTGAAGGAGGGTGGGGGGGGGGTTTTTGGGAGGGGGGGGAAGGAGAAGGTGGGTTTGAAGAAGTGGTGAAGGATGGGTTGTGGAGTTGGGGATTGGTTGAGGAGGTGAGAAGGGGGGGGGGGTGGAGAAGGGTGATTTTGGGGTTGGGAAGGGGGGAGAGGGGGAAGAAGGGGGAAGGGGAGGATGATGGAAGAAGGATGAGAAGGAGAAGGATGGGAGAAGGATGAGAGGGGAAGAGAAGGATGAGAAGAAGAAGGATGAAGAAGAAGGATGAGGAAGGAGGGAGAAGGGGAGGGGGTGGGTTGGGGTTTTTGAGAAGAAGGACAGTTTCTGGATGACAGGGGGGGGAGTCTATTTTGGGACAGTTCTGTTTTTGGGAGATTGAGACAGGGTGGAAGGGGCTGGGGATGGGGTGAATGAGGAACTGTCAGAAATTAGACTATTTATGAAGGGGGAAATGGGGACTGGGGTCCCCTTCCAATAAGGGGTTGAAACATGGATGTATTTGGTGTTTTTTGTAAATGGAAGAAGATTTATGGAAACAAATTTTAGGGACAGTTTCAACCGCTGAGGGGAAGGACAGTCCCAGAACTGTCATAAATAGTCTATTTCTGACAGTTCTGGGACATTCACTCCATACAGCTTTTTCAACCGCTGTATGGAGAGGGAATGTCATAGAACTGTCAGAAATATGCGGTGCGGTTGAAACATTGGAAACAATGATACAATGTTTCAAACCGCTGTATGGAAGGACATGTCCCAGAACTGTCATTAATAGTCTATTTCTGACAGTTCTATGACATTCCCTCCATACAGCGGTTTTTTTGAAACAGCTGTATGGAGTGAATGTCCCAGAACTGTCAGAAATAGACTATTTAGACAGTTCTGGGACTGTCCTTCTCCATACAGCGGTTGAAACATTGTATGTATTTGTTTCCATAAATGGATCCATTTATGGAAACAAATTACATACAATGTTTCAACCGCTGTATGGAAGGACAGTCCCAGAACTGTCATTAATAGTCTATTTCTGACAGTTCCATGACATTCCCTCCATACAGCGGTTGAAACAGAATGTTTCTGACAGGAGTGATGGAGGGGGAATGTCCCAGAACTGTCAGAAAGATTGAGGTCAAATAGTCTATTTTAATGACAGTTCTGGGACATTCACTCCATACAGCTGTTTTTCAACCGCTGTATGGAGGGAATGTCATGGAACTGTCAGAGTCCCAGAACTGTCATTAATAGTCTATTTTGACAGTTCCATGACATTCCCTCCATACAGCGGTTGAAACAGCTGTATGGAGTGAATGTCCCAGAACTGTCAGAAATAGACTATTTATGACAGTTCTGGGACATTCACTCCATACAGCGGGGGATTGAAACATTGTATCTATTTTTTTCCATAAATGACATTCTGCAGATACACTTAGAGGAGGGCGCTGCAGATACACTTTTTGGCCGGGGATTGGAATTATTCTTATTTGTACTTTCTTCTTTTTCTTCTTATGAGGATGAGGATGAGGATGAAGAAGAAGAAGTAGTAGGATGGGTTGGATTGGTTTAATTCCAAGCCGGCAAAAAGTGTATCTGCAGCGCTCCTCTCCTGTAAGTGTATTTGCAGAATGTCATTTATGGAAAAAAATAGATACAATGTTTCAACCGCTGTATGGAGGTGAATGTCCCAGAACTGCCATAAATAGTCTATTTTTGAGACAGTTCTGGGACATTCACGTCCATACAGCTGTTTCAACCGCTGTATGGAGGGAATGTCATAGAACTGTCAGAAATAGACTATTAATGACAGTTCTGGGACTGTCCTTCCATACAGCGGAAGGGGTTTGAAACATTTATGTATTTGTTTCCATAAATGGATCCATTTATGGAAATGGACAAATAGATACAATTTTCAACCGCTGTATGGAAGGACAGTCCCAGAACTGTCATTAATAGTCTATTTCTGACAGTTCTATGACATTCCCTCCATACAGCGGTTGAAACAGCTTTATGGAGTGAATGTCCCAGAACTGTCAGAAATAGACTATTTAATGACAGTTTTGGGACTGTCCTTCCATACAGCGGTAATTATCCTGTCCTTCCTTTTTGTTGTCTCAGGGGGATTGATGGTGATGGGGGGGGGGGTTCTTTTATTTCCCTATTTTTTTATTGAACAAGGTTGTGGGGGGGGGTGAGGGGGGATTTGGAGGGAGGGTTTTGGAATTTATTTTGGGGGGGGGGATGGGGGGGGCCTGGGTGTATGTCAAATCACACCTTAGAAACAAATAGATTTGCGCTGCAGATTTTCACTTTTTGGGTTGGCTTGGAATTTTAATCTTATTTTCATCCTACTTCTTCTTCTTCATCCTCATCCTCATAAGAAGAAAAAGAAGAAGTAGGATGAAAATGAAGAATAATGTCTCCAAGCCGGCAAAAAGTGTATCTGCAGCGCTCCTCTAAGTGTATTGCAGAATGTCATTTTTATGGAAAAAAATAGATACAATGTTTCAACCGCTGTATGGAGTGAATTCCCAGAACTGTCATAAATAGTCTATTTCTGACAGTTCTGGGACATTCACTCCATACAGCTGTTTCAACCGCTGTATGGAGGGAATGTCTCATAGAACTGTCAGAAATAGACTATTAATGACAGTTCTGGGACTGCCTTCCATACAGCAGTTGAAACATTGTATCTATTTGTTTTCCATTGGTACTCATTCATTCTGCATTATTTTAGGGAAACAAATAGATACAATGTTTCAACCGCTGTATGGGTGGGAAGGGGGACAGTCCCAAACTGTCATTTTAATAGGGGTATTTCTGACAGTTCTTGACATTCCTCCATACAGCGGTTGAAACAGCTGTATGCAGTGAATTCCCAGAACTTTCAGAAATAGTGGGGGGTATTTTATGACAGTTCTGGGACATTCCCTGTCCATTGCAGCGCGTTTTTGGTCGGCAAAAAGTGTATGTGGTGCAGAGCTCCTCTAAGTGTATCTGCAGAGCTCCTCTAAGTGTATCTTGCAGATGGTATAGAGGAACTCTGCACATACACTTTTTGCCGGCTTAGCAATTATTCTTATTTTCATCCTACTTCTTCTTCTTCTTCTTCTTTCTTCTCATCTCTTCTTCTTCTTCTGAGGATGAGGATAAAGAAGAAGAAAAGAAGAAGAAGAAGAAGAGAGAGGATGGTATGAAAATAAGATTAATTCCAAACAGGGGCAAAAAGTGTATGTGCAGAGCTCCTCTAAGTGTATCTGCAGAATAGAGGAACTCTGCAAGGGGGGTGTACACTTTTTGTGCTTGGAATTATTTCGATGCTTTGTTTCATCCTACTTCTTCTTCTTTTTCTTCATCCTCATCCTCATCCTCTTCTTCTGAGGAATGAAAGATGAAGAAGAAGAAGAAGTAGGATGAAAAGAAGAATAATTTTTCCAAGCCGGCAAAAAGTGTATGTGCAGAGTTCCTCTATTTCTGACAGTTCTCTCACAGCTTCTTCACATGAACAGTGGTTGAAACATCTGTATCCTAAATGTAAACTAATAGATACAATGTTTCAACCGCTAAACATTGTGGTGTTTTTATTCTGTCAGAGAACTGTCAGAAATAGCGGAGCTCACTGCAGGGACACTTTTGCCGGCTGATCGGGAAATGTTCGATTCGCGCATGCAACCCGAAGTAGGCAAAATTTCGGTTTCGGCCGCGAATTGAATTTATTCCTGAAATTCCGGTTCGCCTGGTTCGATTCGCCATGATCTCTATTTATAACCAAAAATTATAATTTTTCAAAATTTGGTTTTTTACACATTTTTATTTTATTTTTTTATATTATTATTTATGGGGTTTTTTACATACTGTCACCGTAGCAGTACAGTGTCACCATGGTGACACTGTACTATTTGTGGGGGGGGTGATGATTTATTTTTTTTTTTACACTGATTGCTTTTACATCCATAAAGGCTGTAAAAGCAATCATTTCTTTCTCCTTCTCTCCTTGGCTGCATTTTGTAGCCATTGTGAAATACTGTGTGAGCTGTGATTGATTGGCTGTTGTGAATAGCCTTGTACCATGTGACCTCTGTGATCATTCATTTAGATTTCACATGTAGTAAGCAATGATGTCAGAAGTGACATCTTGCTTACTACTCTTCATGTGATCACTGATTTGCCAATCAGCTATCACATGATCAGGACCTCACACAGAGGTCCCGTACAACAATCGGTGTTCCAGAGGACACAGCGGGCACTGGATTGTGGTGCTGTGCGCTCCCAGGGAGCGCGCACACAAGCAGGGAGCCGGAGGACCTTTATAAACGGCCACCCACCGCTGCACTGCTCTTGTCTGGCCGTTTATATACATGGGCCGGACAGGAAGTGGTTAATTAACTGAATTAAACGTGGTAAAACTGAATGTAGGCTCGGCCCATCACCAACTGGCTGAAGGTACAGATGCTCCAAACTTCAGATGAAGAGGGTTGGGACTGCCAATCTTTAGGAACAAAAATGTGAATTGAAATGTCACACCACTGCTGTAAGGACCAGATATACAGTACCAGGGATGTGTAACTCAATTTTTGTAGCTGCTGACTTTTACTTTTTTTTTCAGGTGTAACGCTGCTTTAAGGAAGGAGGGAAGACTACTAATGTTGGCCATACACTGTTAGTTTTCTTTTTTTTTTTTCATTCAGCCACAAATGAGGTGGATGGAGAAACCCCCACTAGTACATGGTACATAATATATTTCCTTATTAGATGCCACAAAGTCAGGGAAAGTCAGAATCTAGTAACAAAGTGTAACTTAAGCTGGGCACACACGGATCGAAATTCATCCAGTAGAGACCGAACAGATTTTGATCTGTGTGTAGTCCTCTCTGTTCAGCAGAAGCTGATCATTAGATTCTGTTAAACAGACCTGCTGGAAAACCTTCATTAACCGCTTCCACGTTGTCTTATAGCAGAAATACTGCTACAGGGCTGCACAGATGTGCAAAATTACATATACTGTATATATGTGAATTTGCAGTTCCGGGTAGGGGGAGTGCATGCTCCCTACCCACGCTGCCGTTTGCGGCTTCAGCTGTTAGTCACTAGGTCCCGGCCGGTGATTCCTCTCCAGCACCCGGCGATCTCCGAGAATTACCAAAGGGGGAGAGACCTGTGTATAAACAACACAGATCTCTCCCCTGTCAGCTCCTGCACACTGCTTTGAATGGCTCTGCATATCAGTGTGCTTACAGTGGAAAGGCCTCAAACAGCATGCTGTAAAACATCACACAGTTAACCCTTTGATCGCCCCACATGTTAACCCCTTCCTGCCCAGTGCCATTAGTACAGTGTCAGTGTTTTTATTAGCACTGATCCAGGGGCGGACTGACAACTCATGGGGCCCCCGGGCAATAGGGGATCAAGGGGCCCCTGTGTCCTCGCCCACACCCAAAAAAGACTATGAAAAAGCCAATGAAAGGTACCAGGGGCATCTCATGGGGCCCCCTACTGACCCTGGACCCTCGGGCAGTGCCCAAGTGCTCAAATGGTCAGTCCGCCCCTGCACTGATCACTGTATTGGTGTCACTGGGGATGTCAGTGGCAGTTAGTCAGTTCATGTCAGCATGCCCTCCGCACTATCACAGTCTTGCTATAAGTCACTGATCGCCACCATTACTAGTATAAAAACATAAATAAAAATTCCAGTCTATATAATCCCTTCCTGTCCAGTGCCATTAGTACAGTGTCAGTGCTTTTTATTAGCACTGATCACTGTATTGGTGTCACTGGGGATATCAGTGACACCAAGTCAGTTCCCCCCAGTGTCAGAATGCCCTCCATAGTCCCGCAGTCCCACTAAAAGCCGCTGATTGCCACCATTACTAGTTAAAAAAAAAAAATACAGAATATATACCGCCATTTGTAAATGCTATAACTTTCATGTAAACCAATTAATTTACAAGTATTGGGATTTTTTTTTTTTGCAAAGAAATGGAGCAGAATACACTTTGGCCTAACGTTTTGATGAAATCTGATTTTTAAAATTTTTTTACTGGACATGTTTAATAGCAAAAAGTAAAAAATAATTTTTTTTCTCAAAATTGTCGGGTTTTTTTTGTTTATAGCGCAAAAAAAAACCGCACAGACGATCAAATTATTATTATTATTATACAGTATTTATAAAGCGCCAATAGTTCACTCAGCGCTGTACATTACAAAGGGGGACAGAACATGTGACAGAACAATACCAATACAATGCAAAACATGAGGGGATTGAGGGCCCTGCTCTTTCAAGCTTACAATCTAGGAGGGAGGGGATGGTGGCACAGGAGGAGATAGCTGTGGGGGATGGAGTGGTAGGAAGAGTGGAGGAGGTAGGCAAGTTAGCAGGGGGTGGGGTAGGCTTCCCTGAAGAGATGGGTTTTCAGGGTGCGCCTAAAGGGGAGGAGAGTAGGTGATAATCTGATGGGTTGGGGCAGGGAGTTCCAGAGGATGGGTGACACCCTGGAGAAGTCCTGGAGGCGGGCTCTGAAAGCTCTATTTATGAGAAAAAAAGGGTGCAGCGTTGCATGACCACGCAATTATCAGTTAAAAAAATGCAGCGCTGTATCCAGGGGCGGACTGACAACTCATGGGGTCCCCGGCAATAGGGGATCATGGGGCCCCTGTGTCCTCGCCCACACCCAAAAAAGCCTATGAAAAAGCCAATGAAAGGTACCAGGGGCATCTCATTGGGCCCCCTACTGACCCCGGGCCCTCAGGCAGTGCCTGAGCACTCGAATGGTCAGTCTGCCCCTGGCCGTATCGCAAAAAATGGCCTGGTCAGGAAGGGGGGCAAATCTTCTGGAGGGCAAGTGGTTAAACAGCGGCTTGCAGCCAATCAACTGTAGCTGCTGATCAGTGCATTCTGACAACAGAAAGTCCCTGCTGTCAGAATACAATGTCCTGGGGGGGAAAGGGGGGAGGGGGATATTCCTGCATCTACATCATGTTCGTCCAGCAACAAAAATGACCCGTGTGTACCCACCTTAAGTCAGATAGGGGCACAGAAGAAGCTATTGACCTCTTAGGCAGAACTTTGACTTTAAATAGTTTAAAATGGAGTACAGGTTTGCTTTAATCCTCACCGATAGCATTTCTGAATAGGTATTAACCTTCTTAAAAAATCAAGAGAATTGGCTGATATTATTATAATAGCCCAGACTAATGAGCTGGCATTATGAGACCCTGCCGTGTAGCAGATCGGCGTGTGTGCATTAAATTGATTCTGTTAGCTCATGAGCAGCGATGAATAAGGCCTATTGTAATGTGATCTATTGAGTGAAAAGCTGATGTTCAGCACTGAATAATGTAACATATGTAACAAACCTGTTACTGAGGTTTACAGAATTAATCTAGCACACCAGCACAATATATCCTCTGTTACTGAATAAAGTGATTGCTTGCAGAGAACTGCGTAATAACACTTGGCCAAGCTTACCGCTATAAATCCGCGATAAAGTGCGGTCATTGTGGTAGCTTAAAGCAAACCTGTACCTTGCTCATGCAGGGCAAAGTAATGAGTTTACTTGAGATCTCACCCCTTCAAGGCTGTTAAATATCTTCCCTGCACCCCCTGCTGCCCTGTTTGTATGCTGGAGCCCTGAGAAAAAGCCATATTATTGCGGTATTAAACCCAAAACCAAAAACACATTATTTTGTTGTCTAACAATTCCTAAAAGTGGTGACTAAATGATTTTTCTTTTTTCTTCCTATATGTTCACCTATTGATTTTGCCAGTAACACACTATGGATGGAGGATCGTTGGAGACACCTTTGGACAGCAGCATTTCAAGTCTTGGGGCATGGCAGTGTAGCAAGCGTACACATTTAGATGGACGCGGTTCAACCATTTTGCTCCAACCCTCCATTTTGTTAAGAATTTTCCTTCCCCCTCCCTCTCTGAGAGGCACAGTGACATATGACCTGTGTGTTAAAAGTGTCACAGGCCGGAGCCCAGCAAGGGGCTACGTGCTATAAAAACCCCAAGGGAGCTGGGGCCTCACTGTCCAAAGATCCTGTGACATTTAACACCTCGTAAAAAGATAACACAGCCTTCCCAGGAGTTCAAAAGACATTGAACCAGATAACCCTTTTAAAAATCCATTCTTCCCCTATGTCTCCTATCTTGGAATATGAGAGACTTACATAAAAACCAGCCATAATGTCAGATTGGCCAAGAGGAGACAAACATTTTGATAGGTCACTCTCCATGGTTGGAATATATAGGAAAGCAGAAAAGTAGATCTCGGTAACCATTCAGTGTAGAATTTCATAATTCATATCTAATCAATCCTCAGACGTGTCTGCATAATAATCTACCCGCGGGTGGAGTGTCACTAGTGCATATGAAGAGTTATGAGCTAAAATATGAACTAGACAAGATCTAGGCTCTAGTTTAAGTCTACGCCCAGACCTTCCCACCCTAAACGGGGTATTGGTCCTTGACTTCAGAGACACCCCCTGCTGGGGAACTACAAATTGGGTTGTCAGACCTAAGAAAAGTTAAGTTGAAGAATTCTCCCATTTTAACATCAGTACCACCTGGGGAGACCCGTACCCTTTCGCTCTGAAACTTGATCTGCAAACCCAAGGCTGATTGGCAAGTACTTTAACCCTTTAACCTCCTTCTGTTACCTCTTTGCTGTGCTGTTGTTCTCTGTATATTTATATATACTGTATATTGGTTACATCTTTTTTCTGTAAATATTTTTATTGCACCTTTTTGACCTTTTAGTAATAAATCTTTCCTTCTGAAAGTGTTGAACTGTTTCTATAGCTCTTAATTGCAATTTACGAATTTCTGCCTCTAAAAAGAGCGCTACTGTGTTTGTTTAACCCTCTGTAGAACAGGCCTGCGGTGACCGTGTTATACAGACGATTATCTCAACCATTATACTGTTATAGCTGATATTGCCGAGTTTCCTCTTTCCCTATACAAAAAGGAGGTGGTGGCAGTGTGAAGGGTTAATTGCGTAATTAACCTGACCCAGTAACAATCGCTCAGGCTGCCGTTACATAGATTGTGGTCCAATTAGCTGGAAAATCGTTGTGCAGGGTGCAGCTGGGTGTGGCATTGTTACGCACGTGACATCGCGGTTTTAGATTGTCTAGTCCTTCGGTCACGAGTTTGATGAGAAGAGCTGGGGTCTAACGCCGCGTTCGTCACATATTGATGACACCGATCGTGGGATCGTCACATATTGGTGGCAGCAATCTTTCGTCCGTCACAGGCAGTATTAGACTAGCAGATTTAGATGAACTTGGCTAACAAATTAAAGCCAAAATCCAGCTAACAATTTTTTTTTACAGTTACAGCAAACAGTTATTTTATATTTCTGGATATGGGTTTTGCAGAAATGAATAAAAGCGAACTATTGAATGCATGCCTGTCAGTGGTAAATGGTTTGTCTCAGCCCTCCAACTACTTTATCTTGACAGCTTGGTCTGTTTACCACCCATGGCCGGATCTAGGGGGGTGCTGGGGTGGACTATGCACCCCCCAGATTTTAGTTGTGCCCCCTCTAAGCAAACCCTAACCTGCCACTATATTATCCTAACCTGCCTTTATGCTGCCCTAGCCTGACACTATACAGTCCTATACTGATCTCAGTTATGTGTTGTGTGAAGAGGAGGAGCTCTGCTGCCTGTGCCCAGGCTGAGTGCAGTGCAGGGATGGGAGAAGGAGCTGTGCTTCTTTCCTCTGCCGTCATCAGTGACCCCTGTTCTCTGCCCCCCTGACATTTTTTACTGCACCCCCACATCGGACAGGCTAGATCTGGCCCTGTTACCACCTCCCTTTCTCTCCCTTAAAGCTGTGATCAAAGGTCCATTTTTCATTTAAAGAAACCCTATTGGCAGACCATTAATTTCAACATCACTTCCTTCCTGTTTGATTATATGTGCATGTAACATATTTTATTCATGGTATTTACCTGTAAAAGCCTTCCTTGTATAGGCATTCAAAAGCCTTGCGGCTGTACTGAGTGCCTCTTTCTCGGATGTGATGTCAACAGCCCTAGCAGACTGACAGCTATAAAGTGATACTCTATAGCAGCCATTCCTAACCAGGTTTCCATGGAACTCTATAGTCCTCCAGAGGTTTATAAGGTTTCCCTAAGCTGTGGCTAATTGACCTCCCAGTTGGTGGCGCCTTCATATTTCTAGTTCTATCACCACTTGGTA